CTCTGGCTCCAGGAGATTCTAGAATCTCCCTAAGTATTTTTACATTTGTTCAAATACAAGCTTATGTTTAAAAAAAAAAAAAAAAAGTCCGAGAAACACTAAGAATTTATTCCAGTCACCCGTTAAATTTGCCAGACCAGAGAAGTGCCTACATACATCAGAATTTATTTATTTATGCTTAAAAAAAAACCTTTAATGTTTATTTATTATTTTGAGAGACACAGACTGTGAGCAGGGTAGGGGCAGAGAGAGGGAGGGAGACACGAAATCCAAAACGGGCTCAAGCCAGTTGTGGGGCTTGAACTCACAGAGCACCAGACCATGACCAGAGCCAAACTCTGATGCTTAACTGACTGAGCCACCCAGGCACCCATACAACAGAATTTAAATAACTGGCTGCTGATTTGAAGTCTACCTGGAGAGTCCCCGAATTCCTAAGTCCTGGCTCTGTCACTCCAACAGAACTACCAAAATGAAAACACTTTTCGCCAACTTTAAATAACATTCCTAAAGCAGAAAGCATACAGGCAGGAAAATCAGCTCCAGGCAACCCGTAGGGGCACAGATTTAAAGGATTTAGTGACACTTAGTAATAAAGTTGGCAGGGAGAAGAATCCACTCAAACTTGACTCAGGAAATGGGATGTTTACTGAGTAAACAAGCGGTAGCCACAGACACACCTGCCACTCCCAGAGAAGCCCAAGAGCTACCACTTCCACCTTCCGGCCACATCCGGGGACTTCTCTTACAACCCGCTCCCCCCCCCCACCCCCGACGTTTGGACGTCTGAGCCGTTGGGTTTATTTGAAACACACGCAGAACCAATCAATCGGCGTCTGAGGCGAGGTGGGCGGGGAGCAGCGGCCAATCACCGCCCCTCTGGATACCCCAGCCTATGGGATGGAGGTTGACATCACGCGCCAATCGGCATGGCTTTTAGAGAAAGCGGCTCACTTTTTGAATTGTTTGTTGCTGACACCAGCGAGGAATGGCGGTAACAGTGAGGGGAATCGGTGCTTGAAAAGGTGGACTTTCAAGGCGATTTTTGAGAGTGGTGAGGACTTTGTGGGTGTGGGTAGGGGAAGTGGGAGTGGGCCAACCTTCCCGGAGCAGTGGACCCCTTCTCTAGTCCGACTGCCCCGCCCCGATGACCGCGAATTCCGGAGCATCCCTGCCCAGGCTTCCTGGCTCTGGAAACCCCCCCACCGCACTCCCGACAGCTGGGCCGTGACGCGCAGTGGGATCCCGAAGTCCCCCAGGTTGCTGGGCATCTTCACCCGCTCACCTGGTTAGATATTTCTTCTGGAAGAATGTCTGGGTGAAGGGAGGGAGTTGGGAAGAGTGCTCTCGACTAGCCGCATTGTCCTCTGCGGCTCTGGCGGCCGGCAGCTGCAGTCTTTGTGGGCTTATCTCAGAGTGTTTAGTGGTTTCACTCTAAGATTCTTCTTGGTGTCTTCTCTGTAGGAAGCTTAGTTTTTAGTTTTTAAAACGCCAGCTTATTCCGGCCTCTCCCCAACCCCTCCGCGTGCGCCTTCCTCCCCGGTACAGATTTGTTTGGCTTGGTGGTTAAAAGTGCAGCCTCTGGAATCAGCCGGGGTTTGAATCCCTGTTTTAATGACTTGGGTGGTTACTTAACCTCTCTTTTCTAGGCTTGTTTATGAGATGGAGACAATAATAGTACCTGCCTCTTAGGAGTGTTTCAAAGATTAGATAAATACAAGTAAAAGACTTAGAACAATATCTGCCACATATTAAACATTAAATCGATATTAACCAAAATTTTTATGTTAACACTAATGTTATTATTGTAAGTAATAACAACCATCATACCCACTATTGTATTTAGCTCCTCTGAAAGATGATTGCTTTAAAAAAAAAAAAGTAAAAGGAAACCTAAAGTGAGTATTTAAGTGACAGGTTTTCTTTTTGGGATGAAAAGAGGCATGTTTTACTGTTATTTAGTAAAAAGCTGCTTGAGTATGTTCTTGGATGAGAAATAAGCTTAGTATAGTTTATGAACACTGATCCTCTTGTCTTTATTTAAAAAGTTTACAGGGTGCCCTGGGTGGCTCAATCCATTAAGTGTCTGACCTCAGTTCAGGTTATGATCTTGTAGTTTGTGAGTTCGAGTCCCCAGCCCTGTGTTGGGCTCTGTGCTGACAGTTAAGAGCCTGGAGCCTGCTTAGGATTCCGTGTCTCCCTCTTTCTCTCCCTCTCCCGTTCGTACTCTAATCTCTCTCTCTCAAAAATAAATAAACATTAAAATTTTTTTTTAAAAAGCTTGCAGAATACATGAATATGAAAATGTAATTAGTGCATTTCCATTTGTAATCAGAGTGTTGGATATTGTCATCAACTTTCCATGCAGCTCTTTTTTTCCCTAAAATTTGAAGCTATTTCAGCAATAAATTGATCACATATAGTATTATCAGAGACTATTTTAATTTTTAACTACCTATTTTGATGATATTTAAACAGGCAAAGGAGAGGAGTGCCTGGGTGGCTTAGTTGGTTGAGCCTCCCACTCTTTTTTTTTTAAGTTTATTTACTTATGGGTGAGAGAGAGGGAGAGAGAGCACAAGCTGGGGAGGGGCAGAGATTGAGAGGGAGACACAGAATCTAAAGCAGGCTCCGAGTTGTCAGTGCAGAGCCTCACCGAGGGGCTTGAGCTCACCAACCCTGAGATCATGACCTGAACCAAAGTCAGACACTTAGGTGTCCCAAGGCTCCCATTCTTGATGTTGGCTCAGATCATGATCCCAGGGTCATGGGATCGAGTCCTGTGTCCAGCTCCATGGTGAGTGTGGAGCCTGCTTGACTATTAAGAATCTCCCTCCTCCATTCTTTAAAGTATATTAGTTCATCTCTCGACTTTTAAGTTTCTTTTTTTTTTAATTTTTTTTTTTTAACGTTTATTTATTTTTGAGACAGAGAGAGACAGAGCATGAACAGGGGAGGGGCAGAGAGAGAGGGAGACACAGAATCTGAAACAGGCTCCAGGCTCTGAGCCGTCAGCACAGAGCCCGACGCGGGGCTCGAACTCACGGGCCGTGAGATCATGACCTGAGCCGAAGTCAGACGCTTAACTGACCGAGCCACCCAGGCGCCCCTAAGTTTCTTTTAAGAGAACTTTGAATGAAAGCCTTTTCTTTTTCACTGGTAACAATTACATGTAAGAGACTTAACCAACAAAAAAAATAAGGGCTGGATAGAATATGTTGTTGATTCTAAATAAAGACTCTTATTAGCAACTATTGGAACATTTCCTTTGGAGATCCTTAGAATAATGATTGATATAGATGTATGGGAAGACAATAAAAAATGTCTACATTGTGAATATTAGGAAGGTTAGCAATTGTTGCTCATTTTAAGATGTCATCTATTAAGTTTTCATGACAACTAAATTTGATTTTCTTTCACCGATTTGAAAACTGAGTGCAGAGTTAGATGGGAACCTGAGTCGCCTGGCTTTGAAGTGCTCACCTAACAATGATGCTGAGGTCTGTGGTTATCGTTAGTGTGCATATCTTCACTTCCGGATGTATCACCATCCAGAAATGATGCTAATGATACCGTACTGTTTCTCCACAGCATATAGTTTACTTAAACTATTACTTTGATAAAAACCAGGTGGATGATATTTGTATATTTTATTAATCTAAAAAAAGTAGGGAAGTATAAAATAGATCAGACATGTACCTCCAGATAAAGATAGGACCTTCTCTTTATATTTGTCCAATATTCTGGAAATTAACTTAAAGATAATAAACTTACATAACAACCTTTGATTTGAATTGATGAAAATTCACTTAACTTTTCTTTATTCCCTGCTTGCCTAACTTTTCAACTCTTAAGTCCTGGAAGTCTAAAAAAAAAAAAAGATTTTCTTTCATTGTCCACAGTCATAGTGACACTAATCCCTGCATAATTATCTTGTTAAATCTTTTAAAGGAGAGATAACTGTAAAGTAATAAGAAAATACAGATAAGCGGGCCATCCACTTATACATGAGATATACAGAGAAATCCACAGAGAATGAGTCAAGAGCAGTGGGTTGGGGGTTGAAAGATGTGCTAGGTGGAGAATTGAGCACTATTAAATGTAAGTGGGTGTGGAGTAAATTGTGACCTGTGTTTAAAAAATGTTGAGAAATACACTGTGGCTGGAGCATACAGTATATGTGGAATGTGGGAATTGAACAGGAGATGAGGTTGAATAGGTAGGCTAGGACCAATTTTAAACCTGATGGTGAATTTGGACTTGGCCTTATCAGGAGGAGTGCCCATGGAAGTTCTTAAGCAGGGAGGTGATATGGTCACTTTTGTTTTTAGGACTATACCCCAGGAAACCATGTGGAGAGTGACCTGAAGAAACCGATGATAAAGTTGTTTGGGGCTGTTGTATTTGACCATTGTGGCATTGAGCACAGAGAAGAGGGACCGGGTCTCAGCTCTTTTTTTCCTACAATTTGATGCTGCTCTGGCAATAAAATGATAATCAGAGATACTTCCTATGAGGTTCCAGAGTACTTGAGATGGGATTGATAGGGATTTGGGGGAGGACAAAGAACATAGAGGAAAGAGTAAGGATAGATCTAGTTTTTGACCGGGATTATTTGAGAGATGGTAATAATATAATGAACATAGGAAGAGGAATAGGTTGGTTGAGGGCAAAGGTGTGGGGGAGGGAGACAGAATGTTTATGACTACCTTCTGAATTTTCATTATATGTCAGATAATGTTTTGAGTACTTTTCATACATTGTTATTTTTACTATATTCCTATGAGTCATGCATTAGTATCTTTAATTTACAGAAGAGGAAACTGAGGCTCAGAGAACTTGAATGACTTTTCTTTGGTTCAGTATTAAGAAAAATGAGTAATGCTACTTTTTATAGATTCTAGATATAAAAGTAGAGCCTCTAATGCTTGTTTTTGCCCAATGATCATGTATTTTTATTCAAACTCTATTTTTTCAGTCATCGTAGAAGAGTACAAACAATGGCTGACAGTAGTGTATTAACATCCACTATTGAAAGGACAAGCTTGGCAGACTCCTCTATTTTTGATTCTAAAGTTACTGAAATTTCCAAGGAAAATGTACTTATTGGATCTGCTTCATATGTTGAAGGTAAACCTGTTAATCAGCTTTAAAACACCAAATCACTATTTTAATCCTAAGCTTACTAACTAGGGACTTAGGATTTAAATGTAATACTAACTGTTAAGGTAAAGTACAGGTATTCAGTAAATATTTGTTGACAGAATCTCTTTATACTGTGTAGATTTTTTTGTTTTTATTTTAATTCCATGTTAGTTAACATACAGTGTTAATATTATTTTAAGGTATACAATATAGTAATTCAGCACTTCCATACATTACCCTCTGCTCATAACCTATTTAACCCATCCCTCCTATCCCCTCCCCTTGGGTAACCATCAGTTTATTCTCTATAATTAAGAGTGTCTTGCTTTGTCTATTGTCTCTCTCTTATTTTTTCCCTCTGCTTGTTTTGTTTTGTTTTGTTTCTTAAATTCCACATGTGAGTGAAATCATATGGTATTTGTCTTTCTCTGACTTATTTCTCTAAGCATAATACTCTAGCTCCATCCATATTATTGCAAATGGGAAGATTTCATTCTTTTTTTTTATGGCTGAATAATATTCTATTGTATTTATATATACCATATCTTTATTCATCAATTGGTGGATACTTGGCTTCCATAATTTGGCTATTGTAGATAATCCTGCAATACATATAGGGGTGCATGTATCACTTTGAATTAGTGTTCTTGTATTCTTTGGGTAAATACCTAGTAGTGTGATTGCTGTATCACGAGGTAGGTCTATTTTTAACTTTTGAGGAACCTCCATACTGTTTTTCAGAGTGGCTGCGCCAGTTTGCATTCCCACCAGCAGTGCACAGGGTTTCTTTTTCTCCACATCCTCACCAACACTGTTGTTTCTTGTTTTGTTGACTTTAGCCATTTATATATACTGTGTAGATTTTTGGTTATTGTTTGGATTAATGCTTCCCAACTTTGAAGGAGAAAGCATCTTATTGTTCAATATTGCTTTTTTCTGTATTGGAGGGCAATGTAGCTGCAACACTGTTGGTTAGAATTTATTCAGTTATGACCGGTCAGGTGAAGAGCCACTTCTTCACTTAACCGCTTTATAAATGGGTCTGTCCTGAAGCAGCATCCACTGTTGAAGAGGATGGCTGTGCAAGATAGTGAATGCTTTTTTTTGATTAGGAGGGGTGCTGATGTTTGTATCTACTACAGTGTGTTTTCTCTTTCTCTAAAGTGATAGATGGCCAAATTTGTAAAAATAAACTAGGAATTAAGTCATTTTGATCTGAGAGAATATTATGATCTCCTCAAAGATGGAAAACATGCCAGATATAGCCAAAAAGGGATTAAGGAACTGCTAATTTTGATGTTGTTACCTGATAAACATATTTAAACATTTTTGATTTTAATAGAAGAAATGCCTCAAATTGAAACGAGAATGATATTGGTTCAAGAAGCTGGAAAACAAGAAGAACTTATACAAGCTTTAAAGGTATGGAGTTTTAGCTTTTTTTAAAAAAAGGTAATTTTTCTTCCATCAGCGTTTAAATAATTTTATAGTTTTCTTAATCTTATACTTAAGTCTCTTTTCCACAGACTATTAAAATAATGGAAGTCCCTGTTATAAAGATAAGAGAAAGTTGTCCTGGAAAATCGGATGAAAAATTAATAAAAAGTGTTGTTAATATGGTAGGTCAAACATTTCATTGCATGTGGCATGCTGCACTACTCTTGATTGTGTTCTTATATTCCACTTAATGGTGATTGGACCTAAATTAGGCACAAGGTATATTTTGTGCACTTCGAAGCTAGAGGAATAGAAACTTTTATATTTATTTTTAAAATTTGGATATTTCTGAAACCCCAAACTATAGTATGTTTCATAAGTAGCAAAATCCTTACTACTTTGTTCTTGTTAAATTTAAAAGTCACATCATATGTATCTACAAAGATCTGATGTTTTTCTTTCTTTAAACCCTTTGGCTTCTTTTTTTTTTTTTTTCCCATTAATTTTATGTTTACTCAAAATTCTTGCTTTATTTCCAAATTATAAATCATGATAAATGACAGTCATCAGGGAATTTGTCCCAGCATATGAAATATATCTAATTCTGTATTAGCAGTTATATTAGTTTGTGAGGGCTGTGGTAACAAAATACTGAGACTGGGTGGTTTAAGCCACAGAAATGAAATGTATTTTCTCAAAGTTCTGGAGGCTAGAAGTCTAAGATCAAGATGTTGGCGTCTTGATCTCTCTTGAGATCTCTTTCCTTGGCTTGCAGATGGCTGCTGCTTTTTTACTATGTCTTTCTTTACATGGCCTTTCTGTGCATGCACATCCCTGATACCTCCTGTGTGTCCAAGTTTCCTCTTCTTAAAGTACACCAATTAGACTTGATTAGAGCCCACCTACGTGATCTCATTTAATCTTAATTACCTCTTAAAAGGCCCTATCCAAATATAGTCTCATTTTGAGGTATGGGGTTTAGGGCGTCAGTGGTTTAGGGCGTCTTGAGGATACACAATTCAGTTCATCACATCAGCCTAGCAATAAAACCCAAACAATTTACTGACCTTTCAGAATTTTCTTTTAAATGGTTCTGTTCTTTTGGGGCGCCTGGGTGGCTCAGTCAGTTAAGCGTCATGATCTCACAGTTCGTGAGTTCGAGCCCTGTGTCGGGCTCTGTGCTAACAGCTTGGAGCTTGGAGCCTGCTTTGGATTCTGTGTCGCCCTCTCTCTCTGCTCCTCCCCCACTCGTGCTCTGTCTGTCTCTCTCTCTCCTTCAAAAATAAATAAAAACATTAAAAAAGAATTTATAAAAAAATAAATGGTTCTGTTCTTTTTGCACAGGAGCCATGCAGGTACTTAAATACCTTCATTCTTTTTTGTAAATGCACATTATAAAATTTTATGCTAAATGGTAACTTGCCTTTTTATATCCTACATTTGCTGTGTGGCAACTGCCAACATATTTCATATCTTTCTATTTCTCTCATATATACTGAAATGATTAAGTTAATCTGCACCCGTTTTGTAGATTAAAAAAAATTTTTTTTAATGTTTGTTTATTTTTGAGAGACAGTGTGAGCAGGGGAGGGGCAGAGAGAGAGAGAGAGAGAAAGACACAGAATCAGAAGAGGCTCCAGGCTCTGAGCTCTCAGCACAGAGCCTGATGTGGGGCTCAAACTCACAAGCCATGAGATCATGACCTGAGCCGAAGTTGGATGCTTAACTGACTGAGCCACCCAGGTGCCCCCCCTTTTTGTAGATATTAAGTGCCATAGTATCCTATTTTTGTGAAGATAATTTATGTAGGAAGAACTATAAGTGTGGCATCATTTTCTTGGTGAGAATAAAAAGTAATAGTGGATGTATTTCTTTTTTTTTTTAAATTTTTTTTTTTCAACGTTTATTTATTTTTGGGACAGAGAGAGACAGAGCATGAACGGGGGAGGGGCAGAGAGAGAGGGAGACACAGAATCGGAAACAGGCTCCAGGCTCTGAGCCATCAGCCCAGAGCCCGACGCGGGTCTTGAACTCACGGACCGCGAAGATCGTGACCTGGCTGAAGTCGGACGCTTAACCGACTGCGCCACCCAGGCGCCCCATAGTGGATGTATTTCTAATGCATCTTGTGTCAAAATGTATATACTTAAAAATCATTTTAATTTTATGTGCATTGTAGGTGATTTATAATGACTACTAAGTCACATTAAAAGTTATGCCTTTATGATATTAATATTCAAAATTTAATGTCAATATGGATGGAGATATGTATATGTAAAAATACAAATAAGTAATGAAATAAGGCTGTTTACTATTAAGTATAATGCTCACTGTGTGATTTTACAGTTTACTACAAATATAAAAATAAAAATGTTGAACTGGTTTTTAGAGTTATTTGAATTAACTTTATAATCTATAAATAATTTTTTTTTCTAATAACCACCTGGAAAAAAAATCAAGGAAATTAAAGTACCCTTTGTAAAGATGGAATCAGTGGAAGAACTTGAAAGTTTGGATTCTCCAGAATTTGAAAATGTATTCATAGTCATGGATTTCCAGGATTCTGTTTTTAATGAGTTATACAAGACTGATCATAGAATTATTGGGCCACCAGTTATCTTAAACTGTGCCCAAAAAGGAGAGGTAAGAAAATACACATTTATCATGACTTTTCAAGGTTAAATTTTTATTAATGAATTTTCTGAAAATTCATGAGCAGAAAAATCCTGTTAATTGTTGGGAGTATGTAATATTTAGGGATAGTAGTGGCTACTTTATTATAGTCCTTTAAATCTTTCTATTATAACTTGCAGGAGTAAAAATCTAAGACTTTTGAAAGTTAATAATAACAACTAGATATTTGTGTGTATATATACCAGCAATGTCTTGGGAAGAAATAATTTCTTAAACTTGGCTTCCAGAAACGTATACACGCACATAAACTTATTTTCTTTCATAGAACAGATACACATTTCCATTTTTATTAGTTACCGCATGGTTTAAAATTATTTTAGCTTTTTGTTTGTTTGTTTTATATTGGGTTGTAACTTTATTTATTTCAAGTAATCTCTATACCCAGCATGGGGCTTGAACTTCCTGCCCCAAGATCAAGTATCACATGCTCTTCCAACTGAGCCAGTCAGGCACCCAGCTTTTTGTTTTTGTTTTTGTTTTAAAGTTTACTTTTGGTGGGGGAGGGACAGAGAGAGGGAGAGAGAATCCCAAGCAGGGTCTGCGCTGTCAGAGCAGAGCCCTACATGGGGCTCGATTGTGCCACAACCATCAGATCATGACCTGCAAAATCAAGAGTCAGGTGGCTTAGTGGACTGAGCCACGCAGGTGCCCCACCCTCCTTCAGCCTTCACCACCGACTTTTTGTTTATAAATAACATTTCAGGCTAGAGTTGTAATAAAGTTAGTCCCTATTCTAACGGCACCAGGGGCTCAGTTGGTTACTGACTCTTGATTTAGGCTCAGGTCTCGATCTCATGGTTCGTGAGATTGAGTCCCATGTTGGGCTCTGTGCTGACAGTGGGAAGTACTTGGGATTCTCTCTCTCCCTCTTTCTTTGCCCCTCGCCTGCTCACTCTAGCTCTCTTGTGTGCTCTCTGTCTCTCTTTCAAAATAAATAAGCTTAAAAAAAAAAGTGGTGCTTTCAAAAATCAAACTTTTTAAAGACCAAAATTATGAAATAATCTTGTATAATGGTGGGAATTATATATTTATACATTTTTTTAAAATAATTTTTTTAACGTTTATTTAATTTTGAGAGAGAGAGACAGAGCACGAGTTGGGGGGGGGGGAGAGAGACACACACACACACACACACTGAATCTGAAGCAGGCTCCCAGGCTCCGAACTGTCAACACACAGCCCGACGTGGGGCTTGAACCCACGAACCGTGAGATCATGACCTGAGCCGAGGTCAGACGCTGAAATTGGGTCAACACCCAGGTGCCCACAAATTTTTTAAACCATTCTCTTTCTATTATCACACACACACACACACACACACACACACATATCTCCATTGGTTAAATTATTTACTATTTTCATTTTTTTTTAGCTCAAAAATTGGAACATTTTGATTCAAATATATGTCATTTGCCTATGTAATATAAAATATCTTTGGAACTATTTGTCCTACATGTAACCTTTACAATAGTGGATGAGAGTCTAAATTTTTAGTTAGTAGATAAGACTTTTAAATATGTCAAGGCTATATTTTAAAACTGGAGGTTTGCACGTAAAATATTTTAATTCTGGCCTATAAAGCATTTGATTATGTGTGTCAAATGATTTTGGAATCCTGGGAAATGTTATTTACAAACTTGTAATTTTTTTTTTGTCTTTGTATCAAAAAATGCAAAAAAGAAATCTTTGATTGACAAAGGTTGGATTGACAAAGGTGGAGGGGGAAATATATTTAGTGGGGAAACTATGTTTTGTTTGTTCTCTACTATAGAAAGCGACAGATTTAAACTTTGTATCCTTCAGCTTTGCCTATTCCATGTTGTCACTCCACTCACGAGCTACAAGCATGATGAACCTAGTCCTGTGCTTTACTGGATTTTAGGAAGAAAGAAGAACTCAGTAAGTATTTCAAACATTATTCAAGGAATATTTTCTTCTAGCCTAATAAGTTTATTTTTTTTTTTAATTTTTTTTTTTTCAACGCTTTTATTTTGGACAGAGAGAGACAGAGCATGAACGGGAGGGCAGAGAGAGAGGGAGACACAGAATCGAAACAGTGTTCCAGGCTCTGAGCCATCAGCCCACCGACGCCGGCTCGAACTCACGGACCCAGAGATCGGACCTGGCTGAAGCGGACGACCGAAATGACCAAGGGCCACCCAGCTTCTAGCCTAATAAGTTTAAACTGACATTTTTGTGGGTGGTATATCATGTTTATTTAAAAACATATTGAAGGACAAGTTTAAATTTGTAGAAGAAATTGAAGACCCTTGTAAAGAAACCTTTGAATTTTTTTTTTGCTGATTATTATTTTTTGAGAGAGACAGAGCTTGAGTGGGAGGAACAGAGGGAGAGAGGGAGACACAGAATTCTGAAGGGAGGTGATGCTCTAGGCTCTGGACTAGTCAGCAGAGCCCAACACGGGCTTGAACCCCACGGACCGTAGAGATCATGACTGCCGGGTCAATGCCCAACCACTGAGCCACCCAGGCTACTTCAAAACATTTTTTTAGGGATGAAGCATATGAATGAACAGAAATGACCAAACTATCATCTGTTCAAATTGTCATTTTGCTATATTATATATCAGCTAACATTATTTGAAGTTTTTATTTATAAATTGTATATTTTTTAGTAACATTTACATTTTTTTTAAAAAAAAACACTTTTATTTTTGAGAGAGAGAGAGAGAGACAGAGCATGAGCAGGGGAGGGAAGAGAGAGTGGTGAGACACAGCAATCAAGACAGGCTCCAGGCTCTGAGTTGTCAGCAAAGAGCCTAACTAGGCTCGGCTCAACCCAGGAGCTGTGAAATCAGACCTGAGCTGAAGTCGGATGCTTAATTGACTGAGCCACCAGGCTTAACCTCATTGCAATTTCATGTTAAAACATATTCTAAAATTTTTTCAAGTTAATCATAAAAGCTAATGTTGCTTAATTTCTTTTGAGGTCAGATTGGTGACATTGGTTCATCACATGGGCGGAGTTGTTCAAAAGACTTTAATTCAAAAGTTATACATTTGGTGGCAAATTAAAACAAGGAGAAAAATTCAGGGTTGTAAACTTGGGTGATTTTCATAAGAAGTATAGCTTTGGGGGGGATGGATTTAAGCCCATCTGTTCTCCTATATTTATTGAGGATCAGATGTAGTTCTTGCTGCATATGCATTTAGTAAAATTTTAAATTGTAGGATGGTCCTTCTATTTTAAGGAGCTAAATGGAACCTGAGTAGGTCTTGAAATAAGTAGGATTTGTGAATGTATAGGATTGTGGAGGTTGGTAGATGGCAAGCATTTCTCAGACAAAAGCAGTTGGTTGGTGAATCGAGCATTGTGAACGAGAGTTGGGAAGTGTTGCTGAGCAGATATTTCACTCTTTGTCTAAAATGGTCTTAATCAAGAACAGAGCTATATTCTTATAAAATTAGTCTCCTAAGATTTAACTATGAAATTAAAAGAATGGGGAGAAGTTACTCTATTAGAATTAAAATTCTTAAGTTTAATTGAATATCTTAGGAGAGTTTGACAGCGCTCCCAAATCATCATCATTTATGTAACAAATGGTAATTTTGAGTAATAATGAATTCTGGGAGGTATACTTTCAATTCATATCTTAGTTTTAATTCTATCAGATATTTTCCTGTTGTGTTGTCTTGGGAGTCAGTACTTCTCAAAAGGAGGGAACCCAGAGAAAGGAAACACAGAGAAAGGAGAAATAGAAATGTAGTAAAATAAACTAACTCTCAGAGTTGTATTTATTTAAAGTCAAGGAAATGGTTTTAGGACATCATGGAACTTGTTGTAAATTATTTTAACTCTGTTGGTAAAAATTGAAAGACAAGTGCTTGATTTTATTTATATTTTATCATAAGATGTAATAACTAAAACTCTAAAAAAAAAGTATGTATAAAATTGCTTAGAACTTCCATCAAGCTATTTAGGTGAAAATTATCATCAGACTAATGCCTTATTTTTAGATTGCTGTGAGTCCTTGGGCACCCACATATGAAGCCAGGAAATGGGATTTTATAAAGCTATGGGAAAAGGAATGAACAGTGCAATTTAATCAGCAGTTTGTTGTTAGAATATAATATTAGGTAAATTGTATGTGCCTCAAACCCTAAATTCATAGTGGGATAGACAAAATGAATTCAGTCTTGGGTGGTCCAAGGAATAAAGTCTAGAGGAACATAATATAAAAAAAAAAATTATAAAAAAATTGAAAGATCATCTGTGGTACCTTTTGACTTTACTCCTGGAAGTATAATTGTGATTATCATTAGGGCATTCTTTTTTTCACTATTTTTTTAATGTTTTTATTTATTTTAGGAAGACAAAGAGATAGAGCATGAGCAGGGGCTGGGTAAGCAGAGAGAGAGGGAGACACAGAATCTGAAGCTAGGTCTCCAGGCTCTGAAGGTCAGCACAGAGCCTGGATGGGGGCTCAACTCATGACTGTAGAGGCCTCATGACCTGGAAGTGGAGTCAATGATGGATCTGACTGAGCCACCCAGGCACCCCTGATTATCATTGCATTAGCATTTTTTTCCCCCAAGATGTTATTTAAATTTGTAAGAGGTTAACATATAGTGTATTATTGGTTTAGAGTAGAATTTAGGGTTATTCATCACTTCTGAGAGCATATAAAACCCAGTGCTCATCACAAATGCCCTATTAATGCCCAGGCTATACTTCATTTAGTCCATCCCTGCCCACCCTCTCCAGTAACTCTTTCTGTAGAACAGTCTCTATGGTTTGCCCTTGTTTTTATTCTTCTTATTTTATTTTTTCTTCCTTCCCCTATGTCTCATCTGTTATGTTTCTAAATCTCACATATGAAAGGAAATCATATGGTATTTAGTCTTTCATGTGGACTTATTTCACTGTACATCATCTAGTTCCATCCATGCTAGTTGTTGCAAATGGCAAGATTTCATTCTTTTTATGGG